TAACTCCCTATCCCAATCCCCACTACTCTGAGAGAACAAATCACTCACCCAAGTCAAGTTTTTTTAGCAAACAAGCTTGAATGTAGAGTATTTAGGCAACTAAAGAGACTCTCAAATCTTAATGGGCCACCCACCCCACTAACAACCTAGAACCTAGCTGAACCGACTCTCTAGATGAGAGCCAGCTTTTTAAAAGCCATGATGCATTTGATACTAAAGCTATAAGGAGAGGACTTGATACACCAAGAACGATCTAAACTACTGCGACTTATCAACCTATTGAAGACGACCTGTAGGAGGGTGTCTAGCCCAGAGATTCTACTTACCGATATTCAGGGGGACGACCAAGTGGACTGCGACCTGTGGGTACTTGAACAATCGAGGGAACATGGAAACATGAATCGAGAGAGAGAGAGAGAGAGAGAGAGAGAGAGAGAGAGAGAGAGACCAAATGTAAACCAAGGAGAATCTAATCAGGAGAAGAAGAAATCTAATGATGATATGGATAATGTCGGGATGAGACTAAACTCCGGGCAGTCTAAAATAGTTATGGGCAGGCTGACTGAGGCAGATGAGCAACAAAATTTTCGGCACCAAGCCTAACGAACCCCATCCTCCTCATTTGAAATCTTTCGACAAAAAAAGGTCGAGCTTGGTGACTATCATTGGGAGCTCGAAGCATGCTAAAGTTGGCTGGATAGAGGTTGACATGCTTGACACCTTGACAACATGTCAGGACAGACTGGCTTTCGTCTCTTACCAGATGAAAGTCTTGTTGGGTTTTATGAGGAACGTCGTAGATATGCACATCCAAATTCATTAAAATAAATCCTAATGCAGCGAAATCTATAGTTAGGATCAGGATTTACGGTTAAAAAATTTTGCAAACTCCTAGGCATAGCCTATGGTGTTAGACGAATGGTTTCGAGATGCGTTCTTGAGTCCACGTTCCTTGCTTCTCCTCGTCAAATCTCTAGAACGCGTCGTCACGATCGCCGGTCATGTGCGTCGGGATCGCCGAGAGTCGTTGCTGATTTGCCTCGCTGCGTGTGCGCTGGCAATAACATTCATCGTCCGCGTGCAGCTGCATGTCGCGGATGCATTTCGTGGTCGCCCCTGCGGCTAGCGTCATACACCACAATGCCTATGCGGGCGTGCGTCGCGTTGGGCTACGTCTGCAAACGTCTTCAAGAGCGTGAGTGTATGGAGCTACGAGGTGTGCATCGCGCAATCGCTGCGGGCGTGCGTTGGGCATTGCGAATGCGGCTGAGGCGGTGGTCTAGTGGTTGCGTGGCTCGGTCTGACGACTTTGGTTGCCATTACTGACCGTCCTCTCTCGGTTTGGTGATGATCGAACAAGTCTCGACAATATGATGTGAAAAACAAGACCTTACAATCTTTTGTCGTATGACCTTAACACCTACTCCGAGTAGTCTTGGTAGTGGGACTAAACGGAACTCCCAATTCTCGCAATCTAAGACTCACAAATTTTCTCTCTTGAACGAGACCTTGATCATGTGAATATATGTTTGAGGGAGGCTTAGGACTTGATATATTTATAGGCTACAACATGAACCTTAAGGATGCGCAAAATATGTGCTCCCAAGTGTGAACAGTTCTAATGGGTCTGGCCCAATTTTATGTTCACACTTGAATAATAGAATATTCCACTATAGTAATATCTTTGTTTTAAAAGTCGGCCTAGGCGGCGCCTAGGCGCTAGGTGGTGCCTAGCCGCCTCCAATTTGCATAAATTGGCTGAAAAAATTGGCTAGCGCACTTCTAGGCGGGCTCGACAGAAAGTTTTTTAATTTTTTATTTAATTTTTTAAAATACTAATTATATTATTTAGTTATCATGTTTCTTTGTAGTATACTAATATTATTATTTGGACTTAGGTATGTCGATTTATTATAAGTTGAGATAATTTTATTTTGTAGATAGTGAAAATAAATAAAAAATAAAGTATTTAATATTGATTTTTAGGCCCCGCCTAGACGCCGACTAGGCCCTGCATAGGCGCTCTAGGCGCTAGGCGCTCTAGGCGCTAGGCGCTGTTCGAGCGTCTAGCGACTTCTAGAACACTAAGTAATATTATTGTACTCCCCATTTAGCTCTGAATTACCAATAATTCGTGTCCCAAATTAATTGCTTGAATTATCTCCTCATGTTTAAGATATGATGTCCGTTGATTAAGTTCATTACTAGCAATATAATTAACTTACTTCTATATCCGAAACTAGTACCACTCAGTTCTTTATTATTATTTCAGAAACTAATCTGCTTACATAGTTTAACATAATAATCATTCATGAGCTCATTCTGGGGACGTCATCAACCAGGTGACCTCAGTCGCAATAACCGTAGACAATCTTAACTGCACATCATGTAAACCTCACTTACCAAAATACCGAGTATGTTAATCTAATAGATATGTATTACCCTTGGTAAATCGAATAAGTAAGTGTTGAATGTACATATGCTTGTTCATTGTCTTATGAGTTAAGGAGAACACAACAATTAATGAGGTTTAGATTATTGACTTGCCCAATATAAAATAATCTTCTTCTCCTGTAGGTTCGTTCAATACATCTGAGATGTGCTAGTGTAATTCGTTAGTCAATATCAACTAACTTGAAAATCACAGTACAATCTTTCGCGACAGTTAGTTCAATTTCATCTAGGATGCGAACAAATATTTAAATTTTACAAGACACTGATAATATGATCTTTCTGTTAGGCACATCGAACCACATTATCTATAATGCTTCTTAATACGAGCCTAAACTATCTATAGTGCTCCTTGATACGAGACTAAACTATCTATAAGGCTCATTGACACAAGCATAAAATGTCTTAAATGAAAGCTCCTTGACACGAGCATAAAATGTCTACAAACTCGAAGGCTCTTGACACAAGCATAAAATGTCTACAAAATCAAGATCTTTTTGACATGAGAATAAACGAGCATAAAATGTTTACAAATGCGAAAGCTCTTTGACGCAAGTATAAAATGTCCATAAAGTCGCAATTTCCTTGACACGATAATAAAAGGTGTACGAGTCAAATATGAAGCTCCTAGAACAAGCATACAATATTTGCAAAATCAAGATCTCCTTGACAAGATAATAAATTGTCTATAAATCATAAAACTCATTAATGAGAGTATAAACTGTCTACAAATTTGAAAGCTCCTTGACACGAGTATAAAAGTTCCACAATTCAAATTAAGAACTCCGAACTCCTTGGTACGAGTATAAACTATCTAAAAATCAAACCAAGTCGAAGGACTCAATGATACAAGTATAAATTATCTGCATATCTCAACTTAATTCAAAATTTTGAAACTCGTTCACTACCAAGACATTTTGTCCGTGAGCAGGTCTCAAGGAGGCATTTGTAGACATCAAAATTCTAACATTATAAATTAATGTCTTTAATTATTGTGGACATTAATTCAAGATGAATAAGAATATAATTAACAAAGTAATTATTTCTTGTCCACCAAATTAAATTCTAGGTTAAGGAAAAAGATTATATCAAATCATAAAAGATCAATTAATTTGATGTTTTCTTCCAAGGTTCTCTATCCTACACCTATAAATATGGGATCTCGTAAAGCCAAAATACACACCTCATAATCAAAGTCTCAAGTTCAAGAGCTCTAAGAAATCTCTTGAAGATTTGAAGACGTTCTTGAAGATCCAAGGGCATTCAAGTTGAAGATTTGCGTTAAACCTAGAACCAAACATCCTAGCCTCTGAAGTACGATTAATGGAGAGGAAGGCCAAGAAGATAAAAAAGAAGGGTCATCCACTCCTCTATCAATTCAAGAATATCAAAAGCGTTCAAATTACATTCAAGTCGCGTTCGTCGATAAATTCGACCAACATAGTGTTTGCTCAAGGAAAAAGCTATCATACCCTCGAGTCAATGTTCTTCAAATTAAAATCTACATTATAAGAAGATTGAAGAAACACGTCATCCAAGAAGTCGTCTCTAATCAAATCAAGTTGAAACCATTTAATTCGAGTTCAAGTCATTCGACCCCTTAATTAATGTTAGACAAATTCAAGCTCAATCATGAAGAAGATCCAATCGCCAAATCTAGCTTTGAAGATCTCAAGCCCAAATACAAGAAAAGAAAAATAAGAGTAGACATATAAAGATTGTACCCGCAAAATAGTTTAATTTAAATAAAATCAAGTTCATGCAACACCATCATAGTTTGAACGCAAAATAATTTGATCAAAATAAAATAAAATTTATTATTCCACCAACACTCTTTTACGAATTTCCATTAAAATATACAGTTCACATTGAAATTTTTATTTCCACTCATATTTCTACCTACCATTTGGAACTGTATGTTGAAATTGTTAAAATTTAACAAATATTCAAATAAAAAGCTTATTCTAACAAAATATTTTTATCGAAATTTCCTTTGAAATTCATTTTAAAATTCCAATGAAAATATCACTTAGCCTTTGGAATTCCATTTCATTGCAATATATTTCCATTGAAATTTCAATTGAGATTTCAACATTTTATTGCAATGGACAATTAAAATTTTCTAGTAGAAGGTACACTTTACAGCAAACTTTGGTGGATTTTGTTATAAATCAATAAAATTTGTAGTTACATTATAATAAGTATCATCACTAGTTTAAATAAGTTAACAAGTTTAAAAATCAAATGAAAGCTTAATTATTAAATAAATTAATATAATTTTTTTTAAAAAAAAAATAATGATATATAAACTATAAATATTTATTAAAAACGGGGGCCTATTTTCTCTCCCCTAAAATGTCAGCACCCACCCTGTACATCAAATTAACAAGTTAATTAAGCTGCCTGTCCAAGGTAAAAAATGCCAACAAAAATAAATAAATGAACAAAAGCACTAAATTCCCCAGAAAGTTTCACATTATATATATAGATACAAATACGCAAATGGAAATTTAAAAAGAAGTAACAAATAAAACAATTTAGAACTGCTCTCATCTGAAGGAGGATTGGATTTCCTCTAATGTTCTTCCTTTCGTCTCTGGCAGCCATATCGTCACAAATGCCGCAGTCAATATGCACATGACAGAGTAAAGAGCGAAAGTTCCTGTTCAAGATTGTGCGCCAATAGTTATTTTAAGGTTTCACGTTATCATGTCTACTTTATCCGGTAACCCAGACAGGCTACCAGAATCCGAAACTTCCCATAGGAGAACAAAAATCCCATTTAATATACTCCATCAACCGCTGCCACATTTGTAAAACAGATTTCAAGTCGAAGGGGCTGTTTTATAATTCACTCTGAAAGAAGATGTATTATTATTATTATTATTATTATTATTATTGATTTTTTTTTTTCAACTAAATTTCTGAAGATGTTCCTTGATCATCCCTATAACTAGAGTGACATTGAGTCATTGACTTGATCAATGAGTAAATTTACTATATCTTTTTCTCTCTATTCATGGTTTGTTCGATGTTAGTATAGCGACTCGTTTTTATCCAGAATTGCCTGAAGCACATACCATATCCGTAAACCAAAGCAAAATACAATGAACAAGGATTTTTTTTT